AAGTAAACCAAACGAACCGACACGACACGACACGACACGACGACACGACACACACGACACGACACGACACGACGACACACACACACACACACACACACACACACACACACACACACACACACACACACACACACACACACACACACACAAACAAACACACACACACACACACACACACACAGAACTACAGGATGCCCGGCGGAACTAGCATACGAGGATCAGGCTACGAGAAGTCCGGCGGAAGAAGCATATGAGCAGGAGGCTATGGCATGTCCGGCGGAAGTGGCAATAGAGGAAGACGGCAGGGAATTGGGAGCAGGAGCAGGAAGGTTCCCGCGGCATGAGAATAGGAGAAGACGGGGAAATGGGAAGCGGCTTTGCCGTTGAGGACGACCTAGTATAGATGATTTGGGCATGGTTGGCCCCAACTCTCTGAACATTCGACTTGTCGGCAGAAGCTACGTTGATGTCAACAAGTTTAGCTTTGGCGAAGCGTTCGACGACGCCAAGGCTCTTGCTTCCGAGGAAGCAAAGAACGCTGGTGTTGGTGAACCGGCGGTTGTCGGAAAGCAGTCCCGAGCCGGATTCGCGCAGTGCTGGGAGAACACGAAGGCTGAAAAGATTGGGAACGGTGAGAGCGGCATCGATTTGGCTGCTACACGTACGGCCATCCAAGACATGGTGAAGCAGGTAAGCCAGAAGGACAGCGGCGAGAGGAGCACGCGAGAGGGCGCTGCGTACATGCTCGAGCGTAGAGGTTCGCTCAATTTCAGTCCAGTGAAGTTAGGGGATCTTGGCTTTAAGTTGCACTTAGGACCAGCGATCAACGTGCTAAGGCCCAAGCAATCGGCTGGATACGATAGCAAGTAGATCCAGAAGCGATCTCCAAGAGCGAAAAATTACGTATGTGATGACGACCCCACGAAAAAATAGTCCAATTACGAAATTATTTATATGTTTTTATACGGTAGAGGGCGCCACGGCGCACTCCAGGCTTCGGGTGCAGGAAACGTATATATTCGCCGAGTATAAAACACTGATCTCTATAGGTGCCGGTGGTACAACTGTTGAGGGTGTCCATAGACAGTACGCCTGATTAAGCATCGACACAAAATAATTAAAATTACTAAGAGAGTGTCGGCGGATACGCGACATACACTCTATTCATGCTAAATGATCAAAGATTCAAGAGTCCAGTCTTCCAGTTATCACTCGAAACTTTTGTGAGACTGTTTTCGAGAATTCCTAGCCACCAGCCGTCATCTTGTAACCACTCCCAAAAGCCGAACTGTCGGTGTGCGCCTCATAAAATTTCAAATGAATAATGACGAAATGCAGCTCATCTCATTCTTCTCAATCGCATGAAAACAAATTTTGATAAATAAACTATATGTATTCCGCCATACATAGACAGATAGATAGATAGATAGATATGTAGGGTGGGGGTATGTTGACAGGCAATGATGGTCGATCACGTAGTGTATAATATAGATGGGTTTATTCCATAGCAGTTACGACTTAAGCGCAACCTGCAGTGATCGCCGAGAGCTCTCCCTTCTCCACTCTCTACCTTCCTTCGTTCTACCTGTCTTTCGTGATCATATTCCTTATAGGGGAGGCTGCCCTCTGCGAGGTCACATCTTGCTTTTGCCCAATCGCGGGCCCTATTCTAGCTAGTGGCTATTGATCGGTAACCTATTTCCGAATTTGGTGTGTTGATTGAGCAACACTCCTGCATGAAGTTGCATGGCCCGTTGCCATCACTCTGGTTTCATGATTGCTTATGAATATAGTGTAGTCACATCTATATGTTTATTACCCCTATCTTCTATTAGGAATCTGGAGTCATTATTTATCCTATAATTGCTAATGACTAATTGCTGTTGTCACCCTTATTAGGAATGTCAATAATGATAGGTAAAACCTCAAGGACTTGACGTTATTAGTCTCCAGGTGTCCTTCCATTACCTTGCTGCCGCTCTTATTTCTCTCGCGATTCACATCTCTATGTTGCGCAAAAGAGCTAGGTGATTTTGCTACATTACAGATACAACGAGAGATAGAGAAAGAAAAACGATATAATGGGTTTGGACGCGAAGTCCCGAGTCACGTGAAAACTCGGCTCAGCCTATAGGTCTATTCTTTGATAATGCTACTTCGATGAGTGTCATAAGAGCTATCCAGTTAGTATACAGCGATCAGTGTTATGAAATGGCCCTGTTTCAAAATTGTTTCTGGTTTTTCATAACCGTTTTACCATCGTCATTTAGCCACTAGGTTAGCATCTAGTACTAAAAAAATTTATTGTAAAATTTTATTGACCGTTTTAGGTACACGTGTAAATCAACTGTGACATCGTGACAAAACCAATATATATTCATATTTGTTTATATTTTTATTTATACGAAAAAGTAACATCAACATAAAAAAAAGATCATTAACATTGTAATACAATTGCCAACAATAGACGTGCTTACAAACAGAAATTCATTGTATTCGGCATTTCATTTGGAGTTTATAACGGCGATTCTTTAGCTACTCTCACTCGAGTAACAATAGATCACCATTAGGCGAGCATAAACAAACACATCTGTTATACGTGTATAATCCAGCTCACGTCACTCATCGACACGAAACGTCTTAACGTAACACATAACCCAACTTAATTTCTTCCATGTAGTCACCGCATTACAGGACTAACATAACATCAAGAGTAGATAATAGAAGATCTTCTATTATCTACTCCTGATAACATAACGATTACGGACCTACTGCTATGCTACGTTACTTAGCGATCAAGTCCATACAAGGTCTGAGAAATTCTATTTGCGTCGCAGCATTCGTTGCATACTATGCGCTACCTCGCTTCCTGTCGGCAATGCACACCAGTAATACACTTATAAACGTAAAATCGTACTACGGCACAACAGCCGTAGATAATCTAATGATCAATGTAGTAACGTAACAATGTATACACATAATACTATAACGTAACAGCGTTGACAGTCATGGCTTGCCCAGGGTGGCGCGGATTTCCTCTACAGCTTCATGAAAAATCTCTTGGCCCGTTTTGGCAGCCGCGCCACCGCTGTGGTGCTTGGAAGTAGTTGACTTTCCTTCGGAAGGACGTTCGGTAGTTCCTCCACCCACTATTCCGGCGTTTTCGATATCTGGAAAATCGGCGTATGGTCCTGATCTTTTCACACCATCCTGACGGTGTACGTGCGATGGACGAGGACGACTCTGAGTGTGGGATACACATAGCAGCAAGATAGCGGCTACGACAAATACAGCGGCCCTCATGATTGCTGAAAAATAGTATATAACATTAGGGTGTACTTTTACTATTCACCACACGCAAGGTGGAGTGAGTATCGCAAGTAATATTAACGGTGGCGAAGGTGTTGGATAGTACATCAGAGTTAATGTTTTAGTGACAAGGTCGCTACTGTTATGCTAACGGCGTGGCAACACACATCGCAGGGTATGGCTACAAAACCCTAATTAGTATTTGGTAGTATTTTCGAAATTAATACGTATCAAGTATAACAACCAGTGTTTCCTATGACAGAATAAGTTTCAACAAGACACCTCGTTGACTACGACGTACACCAAGTTCACGCAAACCTACGCATCATAGGCGTGGTGACAGTAATGCAATTTAGGTTCGGTTTGGTTTCCTATACGGTGTCGATACCGTGGTAGCGTGCCACGGCTCTATTAACCGATGATTAAACTAGAATTTACAATTCGTTAATTATTTAAACTATCGAAAGCAGACTCAATAATACAACATTTGAAAAACTCAAGCAACACTTAAGAAAGTATTAAATCAACCGACTGATACTACCTAACGAACAGCAGACAACCTATACCAACACGAATATGCAAGCTACGAACCACCCAGACTGTCTAGCATAAACTTACCGCTTGCGAACTGAAGGTGAATATGTGTACTCGTATCGAGACGGGTGGAGACCAACCGAGTTATCACCGGCTTAAATGTGGCGCTATATATATACATGCGGGGTAAGCAGGGGGATTCCGCGAGCCACTACGTTTCGAGAGATTGGCTGAAGGTAAGAAGCCATGTTATTTTTCCGGTTCCCGTTGCTCCGTGTGTGTGTGTTGGAATTTTATGAACGAAGCCAGAACATTTCGGCCTACTATCATGCGGATTAAATAGGTTTCTCTAGCGTGTTCGACAGTAGAATTTTCTAGAAATCATGAAGTCAATGTATACGAGTAGTTTTGTCGTATTCATACACGTATGTGCATGATCATACGTGTAGGTGTGGGTGTGGGTGTGGGTGTGCGTGTGCGTGTGCGTGTGCGTGTGCGTGTTATGTGCGTATCTAGCTTAATGACATGAGTAGGAATTTGCGTGTATAATGCTTTCATGCTTGCGTACGGGCGCGCGAGCGTGTGTGCGTGTGTATGAAGACTGTAGTTCCCTAGGTTGTCCACCCCTAAGCATTGGGGAACGGGATAGAAAGCTAATTGCTCACTCAAAATCGGAAACATGATGGTATGCAGTACTTATTTCACAGCAATTGTAACGCGATGGCTGTTTAATAGTGGACTATCCTGTTGGACTGTTGTTATTACTGTTGAAACAATGTGAACAACTCACGCGTGACAGTTGTCGATTAGTCACACATATCATAAGGCATGTGCATGTCGGCAGAAAGGTTTTGTATGTGTGTGTGTGTGCGTGCGTGCGTGCGTGCGTGCGTGCGTGTGTGTGTGTGTGTGTGTGTGTGTGTGTGTGTGTGTGTGTGTTAGTGTGTATGTGTGTGTGCGTGCATGCGTGCGTGCGCGCGTGCGTGCGTGTGTGCGTGCGTGCGTGCGTGCGTGTTCGTGTCCGTGTATCTTAAGACGGTACCCTGCTTGCGGCGTTAATATCATCCGTGGGAAAGATGTATAGAATAAGAGCAACGTTTTAAGGAAAGAAATCGTCACAGCGTGTTCGGAGAAGCTTGTGATTCGTCACTGCAAAAGCGCATCCCTATATCACTATATCAGAAGTCATTTATATTTGCTCACATTCATACGAGTGCAGAGAGACATATGTTTGTGCCGCAATGTGCCATGCTGTCTGAATCCCATGACGTGTGTGGCGGGCTTCCTCAAACCATTACGATATGGCAAAACTATTGGCGCGGGATTTGGAATTTGTAAATCACACTCACGAAACGTAAAATAATCAACGATGATCTGTTGTGTTTCACTATCAGTTTACTATTTGCATGATAATACATTCGTACAGATGACAATAAATAAATTGGCCTTGCAGTTGTCACAATTGCTTAACACGTGTGGTCCAAGTTCATGCTTCGATGGTCTCCGATCTCAACGTCACGATAGACGACGGGTAGTCACCCACCATTCATTGTCATGCCGTTGGTTATTTCTTTTGTTACAGTTTCAATTCGCCGCTTTATATATTGCTGTATCACAGGAACGCTTACGCTGTTTAGGAATATAATAATCGGAATAACGTATAGTTATGCGTGCAAAATTCTTAACACGACATAGCCTAAATAACGTGCGATTCGTTACATGAGGTATGCTGCATATTTAAAAAAAAATGAAGGTGTGGAAGTTACAACTCGGTCTGTGATGCTCTCCTCGTTTAAACTGACACCATTTGAATAATATAAAAAATATGCGATTCTAAAGTGTTCACTGTTCAAGTTAAACTTGTTCATCGGGTCGGATCCGTTCGCCTGCGTGTCGCGAGCCGCTGCCATTGCGACAGTCTTTACTTGCTGTATGTCTTCTGCGAGCGCCGTGGGACCTGGCTGCGGGGTCCGGCATGTACGGGCAGGGAGTCCAGTTTGACAGGAGCGAAGCGGATCTGTCCGTTGTTGTTCCTCTCGAATCCGTACGTAGCGCCCTGCCTCGTGGCGCCCTCTCCCGTCGCCTGCTGCGTGAACTGCTGCGTGGCATCCTGGGAAGCTGTGCGGCGGGCAGAGAGATCGATGCCAGACTGGCCGTTGCCGCTGCCCTCTCTCAGCGCGTTGCTTGTCTCGAACTGTCGCGCGGAGCCGGAACGGTAGCGTCTGCCGATGACGATCTGCTCGCGCTGCGACGGAGTGAGGGATTCGCGCGGTGCGAGCTTCTGAGCGGCGTCGAATGCTCCGCTGAAGTCGAACGCGTCGATGTTGATGTAGTTACGTCCAAACTGATCGATGCCGAACGACGATGCATCGATGATGTTGCCGAAGTTGTCGATGTTGAAAGACTGCTGGCTGCCGCCACCGAAACCAGAGCGGAATCCACCGCCTCCCACGGATCCTCCTTGGAAGCTTCCGCCTCCACTGACGCGCCTCTGGAAGCTTCCTCCTCCTACAGATCCTCCCTGGAAGTTTCCTCCTCCTATGGCTCCTCCCTGGAAGCTTCCCCCTCCTACAGATCCTCCCTGGAAGCTTCCTCCTCCTATGGCTCCTCCCTGGAAGCTGCTGCCACCAAAGCTGGATCCTCTTCCTCTGAATGCTCCTGCCTGACCTCCCTGATTTCCGTAACTGCCGGAGAAGACACCAGCGACGCACCCCAGCACAACGACTACCACTAGAGACTTCATGATGTCTGAAAAAAGAATCGACCAGGGAACATTATAACCACAACTGCATAGGGCCCTACTTAATTAGTTGAATATAAAGATACATTATCAGGTTGACTAATGTCACCGTTTCGAAACCCGGCCTATTATCTGTTCTGAGGTGGTGTGTCAATTTTTTGAGATCGCCTCTATTGATATCTGACCGATTGCCGGACATTCTACCTGTTCTGCTGCCATTTAGTGTTGACCTCACGCAAGTGTCTGTCCAGTTGTTGAAACTGTCGCATGACTGGTGTGAGTTGGTCAAGCATCATTCTGTGGGCAGTGTTTGTGTGTGTTTGTGTGTTTGTGTGTGTGTGTGTGTGTGTGTGTGTGT